CCCCCCCTTACCCCACCCTACGCTTATTTAAGTAGCCTGCTAGTACATTTCAACATCTCACTGACTGGAGGATCCTCTGTGAAATTCTCCATTCTGAACCTCTTCTCTGCTGTGCGGGCGTAGACATTCGCTTAAAAAAACAAAAAACAAAAAAACAAAAACGACAGCAACGACAACAAACAACAACAACAACAACAGAAACAACAACAACAACAACAGAAACAACAACAACAGAAACAACAACAACAACAACAACAGCAACAGCTACAACAACTACAACAACTGGTTCTGTATTTTTTTCTAATGGTCTAAAAAGGGAAATGTTAAGAGATATATTTAACCTTGCTGCAGTTTTTTTTCCTTTTTCAATTCTTAATTAATCCAATGGAAAAACATTATGGCTTTGTATAAATCTCTCTTCTTGAATGAACCTTTTATCTCGTCAATACAAACTTTTTAAAAAATATTTTTTTTTATAGTAAGTGTTTTACGGCGCTTGCAACTGCATAAGGTCATATGAGCGCGCGGGACACACCTAATAGTTTCAGTTGGTAGGAAATTTTGAATTTTGCCCAGGTGGCGGCCGAAGCCTACTCTTATCGATTTTAGACCATCAAGGGATATTTAACGTGCGCAACTTGCACACAGGCCCTCCGAGATTTTTTCGCCTTTTTCCGAGAAGGCTAGGTGTAGATCTTTCCTACCAGAAGATCAGGGGTGTGGCTGAAAGACAGCAGTAAGGGGGAGCCAAGGAGTAGCAGTAGAAAGGCTGCAGAAAGAGTTAGGGGCCCAGAGGAGGGGGGCAAAGGAGGTGAGGGGGTGGAGGCAGAAAGAGGAGACGAAAGCAGACGACAGAACATTGCTAGAGAGCAGGAAAGGAGGTGAAAGGAGAAAATTTTAGAGAAAATTTTTTTTCGCTCACAACTCGGATTCGAACCCGAAACCTTTGAATGAGAGGCCAACACCTTAACCTCTAGGCCACGAGAGCCCCCAGACCAACTTTGATTGAAGTGTCACAGGAATCAAGGAGTAAAAAATAAATAAATAAATAAATAAATAAATAATTATGAC